CTGAAGCTGAAAATGTATTCAAGGCTGATAAGGATATGACTTCTCTCCAGGACAATAGAGATGATACCCAAAGTCATGCCAACGTACCTTACATTGTGAAAAACCTAGGGCATGAGCTTGATTCGAATGGGCTCAGATACATTGCGACGGGTGTGACGGTAACTTTCTAAAGTTCTAGGCCGCCTTAGCTCAGTACCAGATTTGATTTTTTTTTTTTTTTTTTGAGACAGAGTCTGGCTCTGTTGCCCAGGCTAGAGTGCCGTGGCGTCAGCCTAGCTCACAGCAACCTCAAACTCCTGGGCTCAAGCGATCCTCCTGCCTCAGCCTCCCTAGTAGCTGGGACTACAGGCATGCGCCACCATGCCCGGCTAATTTTTTCTATGTATTTTTAGTTGTCCGCTTAATTTCTTTGTATTTTTAGTAGAGACGGGGTCTCGCTCTTGCTCAGGCTGGTCTCAAACTCCTGAGCTCAAACAATCCGCCCGCCTCGGCCTCCCAGAGAGCTAGGATTACAGGCATGAGCCACTGCGCCCGGCCCCAGATTTGATTTTCCTGTTATGAAAAACTAGGGATGGGAAGTTCACATTCGTACACATAAGCACTGTCTTATTCAATTCAGGCCACCGTAACAAAACACCTTAGACTGGGTGATTTATAAACAACGAAAACTTATTTATCTCAGTTCTGGAGGCTGGGAAGTCCAAGATCAGGTGTCCACACATTCACTATCTGGTAAGGACTCACTTTCTGGTCCATAATTGGCGCCTTCTGGCTGTGTCCTCAACATGGTAGCTGGGGCGAGGCAGCTTTCTGAGTCCTCTTTTACAAGGGCACTAATGCCCCTCATGAGGGCTTAGCCCTTGACCTTATCACCTCCCAAACACCTTGTACCTCTGAATGCCATCACACTGGTGATAAGGTTTTATACATAAATGGGGGGAGGCCCACAAACATTCAGACCATCACACACACGCACCCCTAAAAGGCAAAGGTAAGCAAAAATGAGCATGAGGTCTACCTTATATTAATATACTGCAGTACTATGCTTCTAGAAAGTTCTTCAGAAAGCAAATGTTTTAAAAATCAGCATTTTTAATAGTACATTAAAGTAGTCACTATTTTAAAAAAAAATTCTGAAATAAATGGACTTGCACCACCCCAAAGTGACCTGTTCAATATGAATTTCTATTTGCTTAAAATAGTGCCTCTCATTAATTCCAGACAAACGGGCTTAGTCACTTGCCAGACAAAGCACCAAGCTCTTCCTGACAATACAACAGAGCATCGAATTGGAAAATAAAATGCTACGCCGTGGGAAAAGCAAGACTTTCACATAGCCACTCACGCTCCTGTCACATAGTGTGGCAAAACCTATCACATTTACCAAGCCATCCTGTCCCAGTTACACTACCAGGGAATCAAACACACAGTCTCTCTAAGCATAGAAGATACAATACAAAGAAAAGCATCTTTTTTAAAACCCTCAGTAGGTTCACTACATCAAACCTGAAGTTTTCCAGTCTGAAAAGAGTAGCGTGTCACTACTGAGCTTATTTCCACACCAAAGGCCACCTGAGATGATGGCTTTTCCTCGCCCCTGAAACCTTACCAGTGACACTATGTGTCTCAACTTGAAGAAGCAAGGAGGAAGAAGGCGCTGAACATGTTCCCTGACCCCAAGTAGAATCGATTTATGCGGAGATGTAGAAGAACTAGTGGTTGCTATGGGTATTCCATCCAAAACCAAGGTCATTTAAAGCCAGATTTAGTGTCCTCCCTCTGAAAATCTCACAGACATGGGAGGACAGGCCCTGCAGTCAGACTGCCCGAATCTGAAGCCTGGCTCCACCACTTTTCTTCGTGTGACCTGGGCAACTGACTTCCCCACGCTGTACTTTAGTTTCTTGCCTGTAAAATGGGTGTAACAGTACCTTCCCCGTAGGGTTATGGTGAGGACTGAATGAGTCACAATGTACCCAGGACCTACAACCTGGCCTCACATATAGGAAGCACTCAGTAACATCAGTTACTGATTTTATATCCATGGTCAACAGAAGTATACACACTTCCCACAGAATTTGTACAGTAGTAAACAGAACCAAAAAATATTAGCCCATTCACCACACTTGTTAGCTGCGTAATAAAGCAAGGGTGTCTCATAGTCTAAAACAGGACCTTTAATCTCCCTTTTTCTGATAGAAAGTTCTGAGTAAGAAAATTCATATACATGGCAGAGTGATTTTTTTAAAAAATAAAAATTATGTTTTCTATTAGGATAACAAAAATGCCCTTTCTTAAAAACAATGCAATGCACATAATAGTTCTCTCAAGGTAGGCAATACACATTACATTCAAAGAAATGAATGCAAACTAAACTTTTCCCCTGCATAACTTTCAAACTACAGGGCCTAAGAGGTATAAACATACCAAAGGGAAAAGGGCAAAAACATATGGGGTAAAAACAATGTATTATCTGTCCAAATAAAACAAGCAGCAACAAAAGGGGACAAACTCACTCCTGCTGTTACTGTCTCTGCTTTCAACTCTTCCACTCACCTCCCCTATCTCACCCACCAGACAAAGATGCCAGTGAACAACCCAAAGACTCCTGGTCCTAGTTTTTGTTCAGACAGTGACCAACCGCCTGACCAAGAAAGTCAATCTCCTGTAAAACGAGGACAAAAGTAACATCTACCTGTTCCAAGGAGACATTAAAAATGCTTTAAGGCAATAACCTTACTTTATAGTTAAAATTTTAAAAATTGAAATCTTAAATACTATATAAATTCAATGCTATACTCAGGTCAGAGAATATGGGGGAATTAAACGTGACTTTTAGAAAGCTATAGCTCCAGAGATACAGAAATGACACAAACGCTCACTAAATGGCCATCACACATCTGGGAAATGGCAATTCCAGCTCAGGTTATGACACAAGCATGATGTCTGCACACACAGAAGGACACCAAGGAAGGCCCAAACGGCTGCAACACAAAGTCCTCACCCTGTGCCAGGCACAGAAAAGGCACAGCCCTTTACATAGCAAATTCGTTTAATTCTCACGTCCCCTCCGTGTGGGTGCTTTCTGCACAAACCCTCTGAACCCAGCAGCCCCCGCAGCAGCACAACCTCGTTCTAGGTCACATTCAACACCACCCACAGTGAGGAAAAAACCCAGAGGCCTGAGATGGAAAGAAAAAGTCAGGAAATCTTACCTCGGGGGATTCCTACTGGGAAAAAGAAAAGGACAATGTGTTCCAGAAGGCCCAGCAAAGGCTCAGATCATTTAATTTGACAAGAATAATGGGATGAGGTGACGGGCAGAGCTTCCAGTAAGGGAATCAGGCAGGGGGAGGACGGCCTTCACATTTCAAAGGCAGTTCGCTGCTATTTTGACCCTCTTAGTGAAAAATTATCACTTCATCACAAAACAGCAAATGAGTAAGTTGCACTTCCTTATCTGCTTAGAGCAAGATTAATGGCAAGTTAGCTTCTAAATTCCACAATTTGTAAGTATTACCTGTTCATAACTCATAAACCCTCTTCTCAGAGCTGAACCTCTTGCAAGACAAATTTGAGGTACACATGATCTCCAGTCAGTGCAAGGAAGCATCAGTGTGATCCTCTCAACTGTAGTAACAGTAGTAGTAATAGTAACACTAGTAATAGTAACCATAGTAGTAGTAGCAGCAGCAGCCGTGGTAGAACAGCAATTAATGATAATATTTACTGCGTGCCTACCATGTGCCAGCCACTGTTAAGATCACTGGACCTTGATTTCACAAAAAAAAGATGAGGTGGGTTATATTTTTATCTTCCTTTAAGGGAACTGAGTCTAAAGGAGACTTGGTAACTTGCCCAAGGTCAAAAAACTACTAAGTGGTGGCCTAAGAACCTGAACCAAGCCCACTGTTGACACCAGAGCCTGCCTCCTTACCAGTTAGACTACTTGGGGCTGGACGGTTTGAGATTTTTGCCCACAGATGTTTTCAGCTATTACTTGCTTAGTTGAAGTACTTTGCAAACTGTCCCCAGCCTGGGGGCGGAGGGGGTAAGATCCACTCGTGAGGACAAGATATGCATACATAAGGCACTAACTCAGATGGCTCAAGAACAAAATTCAGTGTTAATGATGAGGGCCTCCAAAAGAGGGAGGGAGGGGATAGATGAATCAACAACAGCCAAAGATTGATAATTATTGAAACCAAGGTGATGGGTACAAGAGGGATCATCCTACTCTTCCCTGCAATGACAGGGACAGGCCAGTACGGGGAAGGACTGTCCAGCCAAAAATGCCAAAAGCATCCCACCAAGAAATGGTGATGCCTAAAAGGATTGCTGAGACAGACTTTCATGGACATGGATAAAACGAGAGTGAATATGGACATGGCTAGATTTTATCGCAAGCCTTTCAGGTTACTCTGGCGCCAATAACAAAATGAGAAGCTCTGAGCATGGAAGGCGCTCACCTGATGTGCTCATGCAATAGACATTCACTGCATCGCCTGTCTACCAACTGCCAAGAACAGCCCTGTTGGGTCAGATTTAAGAACATAAGACCCAGATTTTAAGGGCTTGCAATTCTTTCAGCTACCCCTTCATTAATTTTTATTTAGTATGTACAATGTTTTAAACTTTCAAACTCATCAAAAAGCTTTTTCAAAAGTGCTTTTCCTGCAGTTATATCAATATTTCTATTATTCGATCTGAAAGGTAGAAAATATAATAAAATGAAAAATAAAATTGTTCTTTAGCAAAAGGCTATGTACTGAAATAGCATTTTTTACAGCATGATCTGATGAAGATGCATCAAAGCAACAGGAAAACATGTTATCCTTCAGACCCAAACATTCTGTAAATATATGTCACGTAAAACAGGGCAGTCCAGATACATTCTTAAAAGAGATTATATGCATTTATTCATTTCTCAGGAACGATTCTACACTCCTTGAGACTGCAACACTTCCGTAAACAAGAATTTTTATCTTTATTGGCTTTACCTGCTATTTGTACTGAACCATCCTCACCCAGAAGAATATTACCAGCTTTCAAATCCCTATTAGAAAAAAGAAATACAGAATAAATTGTGGAGTATAGACATTATAGTTTATTGATTCACTCAGGAAGATTTTAAAATATGACATACAATGCAGCTCTTTGACATAATTATTTTATAAATATTAATATAAATTTTAAAATTTACAAGGATACACTGTCATTTTATAGTTTACTCCTGGGGGACAGCTAGGATTTTAGGAATATTTTCTGTGACATCATTATCCATATTTAATTGAATCACTCATGAGTAGACTCTATTTTATGTTTCGGAGTTAGAGACTGTCCGTAAACTCACAATACTGTCATTTCATCAAGTATTAAAGCCCAGTCTATGTACAGCTGTTCTACTTCCACTTAAGTTTGTCTGTGGTGCAACTGCACATTAATTCTATCTCCTTCTAAAAAATGAATTTTATCAGTCTCCCCTCTGGTGAGATACTGATTGTAAATACTCATTATAATATTATATATTATGCTTCTTTACTATAGAAGCTATACAGAGTAATCTTAACACAATTTGCAATTTATAGGTTTGATTTCTAAAGTAATATTTTTTCTAATTATTGAAAAATACAGTAAATATTAAATATACAGCTCACTTATAGTTTGGAGTAGGGGGATTACATTATTAGTATTACCGGTAAATGGTTATTTACTTGCAACAGTTGCAAAAATTCCTAAGAGCCCAAGTAGCACTAACTCATTTGAAACATCAAGCACTCACATTCTATGCTGTTTGCCTATTTAAAGAATTGGCATTTTATGTCCACAAAAAAAGATGAAATTAGCACCCCCTCCTTCCTTCTCACTACCATGTCAAAAATAATTGACATATTACAATGTTTGGAACAGGACTGCCTGTCTCAGAAAGCTAGAGATGCTATCCAGTTCAACTAAGCACACTTTAAGAGTAGTTACATTAACTAATTTTTTTAATGAGTCCACATAGTACCTTTTATATTCTGCTCTTATTTCAGTGAAAACAAATAAACTGATCCCAAGGATACTAATTCATCAAAATTTATTGTCTCATTTCTTTCTTAAGTTCTTTTATCTCATCTATTTAGCCTATCTAAGTTACAAGTAATGTCAATACCTACCTGCTGCATGTGTTTCCTTAACATTCTTTACAAACGAGGGCTAAAGACACGAACAGATGAATGTAAACATCTCTGCAGATGCCATACCTGTGAATCTGACCATTTCTGTGTAGGTAGTCTAAGCCTTCCAAAACCTCTTTAAGAATTGTTGCTATTATTGCCTCTTCCAGAACTCCATTCTTGTGTTCTCCTCGGTTGACAATGTATTTTATGATATCCAACATGGAACCTAAGTGGACAGACAAAAGAATCGGAAAAGTAATTTTATAAACACCTTCATTACCTTTTCAGAATAAGACTCCGCTATTTAGGGAAAATTAAATGGAAATATCAATATATTGGGTTTTGCTTGTTTAGTTAATGCAAGTATTCCCAAGGCGTACAAACAACTGAACGGCAGCCCCATGACCAGAAACACTAAATCTGGGTTTGCAAGAGCACTTTCAGTGTGAACTTAGTGAGGAGGATTCTGGATCAGGAACCAGAAGATTGTAAATGGCCACTGCATGGTTAGTCCCTTTTCCCTACAGATATAATTGGCTACAGACTTCAAAGAGGGTTCAAGAGATCTGACTGACAAAGAAAAGTGTGGGAGGCCAGGAAAAAGGCAGCGGTGACCTGCTGAGAGAAAGGACCACGGCTCTTCCTGATCACCTAAATCCCAGGTGGGAGGGGAAAAGAAGCATGTTGCCTCTAAACCTCTGCTTATAACCAGAAGATTCCTTCCTGCGACATTACACAATCTTTATTTCCATTTACACAATCTTTATTTTCATTTACCTGATGCTTGATGTACTGACATTTACAATAAAGAAGAATAAATACCTAGTACTTTGTTACTATTAATATGTTCGGAGCGGTATCCTTGGCACTGTGAATTCATGTTTCAACACATATTAATTAATATTCCAAACCTCTGGGTCATTTTAAAAGCCATAATTACCCGGGGGTTCAACATTTCTGAAGAGTTAACAAACAGCTTACTTCAGGACCTGAATTTGGCTCTAGGCTCTTTATAATTAACTAAGAGGATTGAGTTTCCCCGGCAGATATTACACACCAGACCAGCTGCCTGCCCCTCATTGAGAGAGCCAGTGTGACGAAATAAAACAGAAGAAAACAAATGCATATTTTCCCCCTCAGAGAGAAACAAAATCAGTTTATTCACTGGCTCTTGGATTTTTGTGTCATTTATAAAATGCTAATTCCAAAAACATTTCATAGGGATACACCACACCGGGCATGAATGCTTTTCTGGCTTGCTGAAAGAAAAGTGAACAAGAACCCACATCTGCACACATTCTCCTGTGGAAACCTGTTTAAAACCTGTTTCTCTTACCTAAAGCCCAGAGAGACTAAATTGGACTCTTTTAAAAAGTCAATGAAATTTTCTATCAGATTCTCCTCAGAAAAGAGGAGGTTAATTAAGGTGAAATCTTCAGCTTGACCACAGTAGTATTTGGGACTATTGAGGGGTCTCAGGTCACCAGAATTTCTCATTTCCTCAGAGTTGGTGGAAAATCCACTAAGATAATCTTGTTGGCAAAGCATAACCCTCTGCAGAACCAAGGGGCAGTCCAAGCTGGGCAGGCTTCCTTTTTCTTTTATTCTTTCCTTTTTTCCTTTCCTTTATTAATTAAAAACTAAAGTAGGCACTCAAGGAAACAATGACTAATAGGATTGAGTAAGACTGGGAACAGAACAGAACTATGTTCTCTCAGGCTCCCTACTGAGACCTACACAAGCAGACCCAAGCCAATTACGATGTCTTCGTCATCTCATTTTGGGGCCTTTACTTGATCTAAGAGAGTTTCTTAAAAAAAAAAAAAAAAAATTCAAGATGTGTTCTTAGATTCAGCCTTCGTTGGAACTGGGTCTGCAGGCTAAAATGAGCTCTATCATACAAATTCTGCCAGTTTTGGCTTTGTCCATTCAAAGCAAACTGCTCTCCTCTGCTTCTAAATCATACTTCATGTTTCATAAAGACACACAGGGAGTGATGCTCTAGAAAGAGAACATGCTAGAGATGTGGGCATGCCAGGTGTCACTAAGGAAGTCACTCAGGCTTTCCAAGTGCCCAGGTCTGTAGAATGAAGGTAAAAACACTTGCAGCATAGCACCATTTTTAAGTCAACAGGTTCTAGAGTCACGAAGTCCCGCACCAAAGTTTACTATGTGTGTGGCGTTGGGCAAGTTGCTAAACTCCCTTTAGCTTTGGTGTAATTTATGAAAAACAGGGATGGCGACACAGGCCATTCAGGGATGTTGTCAAGATTAAATGAGATAAGGTAAGTAAATTGCACTGGATGGGATCTAGCCACAGAGTAAATGTTCAATAAAGGTAACAGTTATCATTATCATTCCCTTTCTGAGAGTGATGAAAGAAATAAAATACAGGCATGTGAAAGTGCTTTATAAATTAAATTGCATAACTTCAGGGATCTAAGGCTATGGAGAGGAAGTTACTTTTCCTTCCCAAATGCAAAAATAAGATGAGAATAGTGCCGCTTCTAGCCAGGCACGGTGGCTCACGCCTGTAATCCTAGCTCTCTGGGAGGCCGAGGCGGGCGGATCGTTTGAGCTCAGGAGTTCGAGACCAGCCCGAGCAAGAGCGAGACCCCGTCTCCACTAAAAAAATAGACAGAAATTAGCTAGACAACTAAAAATATATATATAAAAAAATTAGCCGGCATGGTGGCGCATGCCTGTAGTCCCAGCTACTCGGGAGGCTGAGGCAGTAGGATCGCTTGAGCCCAGGAGTGTGAGGTTGCTGTGAGTTAGGCTGACGCCACGGCACTCACTCTAGCCCAGGCAACAAAGCGAGACTCTGTCACAAAAAAAAAAAAAAAAAAAAAAATAGTGCCACTTCTGGTCAGCACTGCAAGCAAATAATTTAGCACACATCTCTCTCCAATTCAATTGAAACAACATTTATTGAGCACCCTAGTAGATAGCAGGGTCAATGAATTCAACATGCATTAGACAGTTCTTTCTTCATGAAGTCCACAACCTAAATCTGCACTGTCCAACACTGTGGCCACTAGCCGCATGAGGTGATTTAAATATGAGTTAATTAAAATTCAATAGAAGCTCTGTCCCTCCGTCACACTAGCCACATGTCAAGTGCTCGAGTCACATGTGATTAGCAGAAAGCAGATGGCACAGCTATAGAACATTTCCATCATCACGGAAAGTTCTAATGAACAGCACTGAAATAATTCAGTATATTACAATGTGTTAAGCACCTGAATAATATTAAAAAAGAAACAGTTTAAAGAGAAATGACTGGTTAGCTGTTTTGAAGGGTAAGCAATGGCTACAGAAAGTACGTGACCTCTTAGGGCTTGACTGAGCACATGGAAAGGGAAGGAGAGGAAGAGGACAGGTCAGGGCCCAGAGGCACCAGAGCACGTCAGGTACATAGGGGCCGCACCTGTACCTGCAAGGTGGGGGTATTTAACACATGGAGGAGGGGACACACATACTCTATGAAGGTAAGCCAAATTATGAAAGACTCTGGGCCAGGTGCGGTGGCTCCCACCTGTAATCCTAGCACTCTGGGAGGCCAAGGCGGGAGGATCAACTGAGCCCAGAAGCCTGACGTTGCTGTGAGCTAGGCTAACGCCACGGCACTCTACTCAGGGAGACAGAGTGAGACTCGGTCTCAAAAAAAAAAAAAAAGTCTCTGAAGATCAACACTAAGAAATCTGTACTTTATCCTCTAGGCAATGATAAACCAAACAAACCCTCAAATACAGGAATGAGGGGATCAAATCTAAAATCTTATTCGATATGCTGGCTCCAACAAAAGACAGAAAAAAAAGAAAAACAAGCAAAAAACAAATAAAACCCACTTACCTCCACTTAGTAACTTCATGACCAGCCAAAGTTCATCTTTTACCACAAAAGAGGTGTAATAGGTCACTACGTTGGGATGGCTGCACTGACTCATGGCTTGAATTTCTTTCTATAGAAAAAGCAGAACATGACATAGTGCCACAGGGTGAAAAGTGGGAAGCAAAACACAAGTGAATCACAGCTGAGCACCTGGGTAACTTCCTGTTCCAGAGCTACCCCGGGGGCGGCCTAAGCCATTCCTTCAAAGAAGTTACGTAAGGACTAACTTTCTCACCCTCATTATCAACTCTCTAGAATTAGAAAGTTCTCCAAAGGAGATCATAGGTGCCTGTGGACCAGCCATGGGACAGAAGAACTTCAGATCACTGCAGCACCCGGCTGAACCCCCACTCTGCCAGCAGAGAGCCCTGCCACGTGGGACTCAGTGCCTCCCTGAAATGAAAGCTGGACAGCGAGATACAACAAGACTGGGTGAGTTATTAAGACACCTGCATCCTCGTGCCAGCCTGAACTCTGGTGGATCTTAGCTCCTCTCTCATCCAAAAGAGGACAACAAAACTATCTCCGTTTCTCAGGACTGCTGTGACCGGAAATGAGAAAATACATATGAAAATGCTTGAGTATCATTTCCCCAACTAGCTGCCATGGTAGATATTCCGTTAAGAAAAAAAGGTGAGGTGGGGGGAGTCAGGCAGGCAAAGTAAAATAAGCTTGGGAAACATCAGATACCTGTATCTCACTCTAAAAGAGTCACAGGGACTCTTTGACACAGGAGTCAAAGGCTCTGGGAAGTCCTGCAGTAGAAAAACTCTCCTAGTTTAATCCATATTAGCAAAGCAGGAAAATAATGCTTTGTGGGTCACATTTTACAAACGCTGCTATAGAAAAAACAAGTTGTATATAAAGATATAAAATAACAAAGCTTTGAAATAAGACAAATGAAAACCTTCAATAAACCATATTTTTCTGCAATACTCAAGTTCATATTGGTTTTGGTTTGTTGTTTCAAGTTATTACCAGATGACTACCATAAAGCTTTGGTCTAATGCAACCTTTAATCAAAGAGGAACCAGACCAGCATAACTCACTTTCAAGATGCTATCCGAAAACCGCAAGAATAACCTAAGTCATCAGAGAAACCTCATTTTTTCTATTAAATATTTATGGTGAAAGAAGAGTGCATTTTTGCATCCTCTAAATAAATTCACTAACAATGAGCTTCTAGTTAACTCAAAGTTAACAGAGCAGAACATTTCAATTTGGGCTATCTTTGCATATCCAGTACTACCCAATCCTCAAATTACCAAGATGACCCTATATGTCCGATAATTTGGCCAAAATGCTGTAACATGTAACACATATACATTCCTTAACACATGTTTTTACCAAGGATAAACTCCTAAGAAATTCACTAATTTTTCTATTTTCTTTATATATACATGTTCCCTTCATCATTCCCCTCATCCATTTAACTGATTACAGGTTTTCTAAATCTGACACTTTTCAATTCAGCAATTCTTGTCCTTTGAAGAAGATCTGAAACCTGAGGTCTAGTTTCCATCTGTTTCCGGTATTAGGTTCTGACACCGTTAAGACACTTCTGAAGGAGAAATGGAACGCCGCCCCGGCCACTCCTGTTTCAAGCCACCTGCATCGGCCCAGTGTGGGGCTGGCCCACTTTGAAGGCCTGCAGCATTAGGCAGGGTCCAGTGTAAACAGATGCCTCTGTGTTCACAGAAATGAGAACAATGCAGGTGTGCTCTAAAATGTAAATGAATGTCTTTCCAGCTCTAACTCCAAACTTTTAAATCATTAATCAAAATGCACAATAAACAGCCAATGCTCACAAGAAAGGAAATTCTTTTACATCAGAAGCAAAGTTGGGTCAGAGTCTGGAAAAACACATTTCTTTAGCCCTTTGCATTTAGATGGGCTGGTATCACTTTCTGCCCAGAGTATCAGGTTCTCTGACATTGCAGTGAGCACATAGTGCGTGTGTGCGCGCGTGTGTGTAAAACTCTATTAGATAACCCATGGATATAACTCACCAAATTCTATTCCTTCCAAACTCTGGGTCTTAGAGATACCAGCTGGACATTAAAAGGTCCTAAGAATTTAAAAAGGAATTTAAAATGGCACAGATACTGCCATACCCATACAACCAAAGGAGCAGCGTAAGACCAGTCAAAGAAGGGGTAGGGAGGCTGAGAGTGGACCCGCGTCAGTCTGATCACATACAGCCCCGAGTCCTGCTTCCATGCAGCCCGGCTGTCACCCGTGCTATCACTGACCCCCATAATAAGTACTGTTTCCACAAATGGGATAGAGATAGACTCTACAGGCCCATCTAACCCTTATTTTAGTTTATATATAAACTTTTTATTTATTTGCCTTCTAGAAAAGTATAAGAAAATAAATTGAAAAATATAAATAAGATTCCCCAAAACTACCCCCTCCATTTCTTTTCAAAATAGTGATGATGGCTGCTATATGAATCCTTCCTTGGTAACAATCTACCGTGATTTCTTCCAAATTTGACCTCGTGTTTTTCTGTCCCAGTGAATTTTTCTGCCCTTGTTGAATTCAAACCACTTTTCCCAATGCCTTAACTTTTCCCAATGCCTTAACTTCTTTAAGGAAAAGACATTTATCCCCAAACATATTCACTAGTCCCTATCCCTAAAAATGACCAAAGTATTGCTCAAAGATGAACAAATTGAGATAATAAAGGTGTTTTAGCCAATTCTTCCTACAGAATGAATGAGTTCTAATGCCCTATTCCCTTAATTAGGTCACAGCCCATGGTAGGAGTGTGAGAGCGGGGCTTCCCAAACTTGGATGTGCACACAGATTGCCTGAGCAACTCTCTAAAATGCAGATTCTAATCAGAAGGGCTGGGGCAGAGCCTGAGAATCTGCATTCTAACAGGTTTCCAAGCAATTCTGATGCGGTGAGTCCAGGAACCAGACTTAGAGAGGCAGAGCAGTAGTCTGAGCTTTGAAGGAAGGCAGAGAGGCGCCAGGGTTGAAGGAATGAGAGGAAGGAGCACAGGCTGTCACAATGACAGTGACAGGTCAAAAGTGCCAAGCAGGAGGTCAGGCCAACAGCACCACCTGGCCAAGTCAGACTGGAGGAGAGGGATAAGGAGCAAAGCTGGAAATAAGGGAGACTGAAGCACTAAAGTGGTCTGAATTCAACAACGGCAGGAAAATTCATTGGGACAGAAAAACACGAGGTCAAAGTTGGAAGCAATCACAGAAATCTGAAATCCAGGCAAACACATTTGCCAAAAATATAGTCAAGGAATATGACAAAGCGGCTCCCTTAAAAGCCAATGAAATAAGACTCAGACATGTCATCAAGTGCCAAACCAAGCTATGGCACAGTGTTTAATCTTTTCTATGGCTTAGAGAGCTGGGTTTGTTCGTGCAGCCTCATCTGAAATGCACCACAAGTGCAATTTCACAAGAGCGGGCAAACCAACCTAAAATGGGGTAGCAAGTAACATGCCCTCCCCAATTGTTAATACTGAAGTGGCAACCACACCAGTGCCCCTCTACTGGGAGCTATGTGGGCGGAAGACAAATCAAAGAGGGACATCCACACACTGCTGCTGTGCCAGCCCCTCAAAATCTGCCAAACCAGACCACGGCACAGGCCTCTTATGAGGGGCATACTAGCTTTGGTGGGAATACCTAATACATAAAGTATCCTACCCTGGAAATATAAAGGGTTAGGAAGGACACCCCCCCTCCCAAAATAAAACTGTAAAAATGAAAAAAAAAAATGTTTAAATATTTATGAGAGATTTTCTCATATTGTTATATGATGTTTGTTATCCCTTCCAAAAAAATAATATTTCTCCTATAAATAGTACTGAGGATAAGCAGGAACTGTGATTAACAAGCATCTGAGCTTCCAAAAAATACTTAAGAAGGGCTACACTTGAAGTCATGGCTGGCCTGGTTACCCAGGCAGGTTATCCCCTCTCTTTGAGCCTCAGTTTCCCTCTCTGTAAAATGAGATTTATACTACCAACTACACAAAATTATGTTAAAAGTTAATTTAGTCTCCTGTTCTCGATGTCTCAGTTCCTTCCTGGCATGTGAGCATCCCCACATCGAGCACTCGTCTCAGGTGTGTCTCACGTGTCCCAAGTTCCTGACTAAGCCTCAAAGGCACAGAGACAGACCTTGCCAGCAGCATTCACCTTTTCCTATAGAAATGTCACAAGACACTCATTAGCCCCGCTGGCTCAAGGAGTTTCCTGTAACGTATGGACAGGTCATTTGGTCACAAATTTTTGGCTTCGCTCCCTGATTCTACATTGTCTTGATCTGCGTTTTTCCTAATTATTTCACCCTGTGTTCAATTTATACCACCTTGTCATAATTCATGTATCCTGGTAAGCTGCCTCGAACTCTTTTGGAATAAAGAGTCTAAATATGTACTTATACAAAGGGTTCAGAACAAAGAGAAATAATGTAAGTTTTGAGATATAAGAATTAGGAAAAAGTTAAAGCCTGGTTTCTTTTGTCCCTGAGACCATGAGATTCACAGAGCACTAGAGGAAAGAGCTTTTGTTACCGAAAAGGAAGAGTTTAACGGGATTCTGAATTCAAAACATTAAACTATACTTAACCAAATTAGCATATTTGCACGACTTGTGTAAATCCTAAATAAATTCTTCTTTATCTGACAATGGTGGCAAAATATCCTACTTGGCTACTTAGTTAAGAAATCAGACTACTCAAGCTCCACTAACATGTGAAGTTAAATCTGAGGAATTACTATTTCTAACTTTATTCTAAAGCAATAGATCTCTACCATGGCTACACATTGAAATTGCCTGGGGAGCGCTGAAAAACCACCGTCTGTGTCCCAGCCTCAGGGAGGCTGATGTAAATTGGTTTAGGATACAGCCTGGGAATGAAAAATCTTCAGAGGTTCCCAGGTGAATCTACTGTGCAGCCAAGGCCGAGAACTCCTGCTTCCAAGCTAATTCTGAGATGCACCTTTCTTTCTATGAAATGGTGAGAGGAATCAAGCTCCTAAGCACATTTGCATACTGCAATTTAATCTCAAAAGGAAATCTCTGTATATGATTTA